TCCTCGGTCCCGGTTTTTTTCTAGAGCTGGACGCCGTTGTTGCCGTGGTCGTTTCCACCCAAGGCAAACTGTTTGTTTGCTTCGTTAACTTCCATCGACACGTCAAACACAGCGGTGGTCGTTTGCTCATTCGCGCATCGTTCACTGCTTCGATCAGTGCCGCCGACGCCGCTCTGACGTCACGTCACGTCACGTCACGGCCTTGACAGTACAGTACTTGACAGTCTCGTGTTCACTGCATTCACTCACAAACCACTGCCACGAAAGCCACCGACCAACGCATCAGCATACTGATACGTCATACTGATACGCAAACTGATACATCTGGGCAGCCCTCCCCCCCCCCCTCACCCGCAACCTCTCGCGCTGCGTCGCACGTTCCCCACTGTGTACCTTCCAGGATTTACAGCATGCTATTTGGCGTCATGGAAACATGGGTAAGCACTAAACCATAAGCAACGGGACAGATTAGGAAAGGCTGAACGAATCATGGACTGTAGTTTTTAGTCCACCCAGCGTACCATCGGTATGATTACCGGCTGTTTACACACTGGCTGTTTACGCACTGCTTCCGTCGGTTATTATCCCTGTTGGTGTCATGGCTGACATGACACATGGTGGTATAGCACATGTTATGTAATTTATTGTGGATTTGCGTGTCAGCGATCAGGGCTTCGCGACCAAAAGCGCAAAAACTGGGTCACTACAATTCCCTTGAAATGCAAGTTTTAAAAGACATCTGGGCGTTGCTTTCCACAAAAAGTAGCATACTGAATGCACCTTTAAAGCAAAAAATAAGACATCTGTATCGTCCTCGGGTCAAACTAGGTCACATGATATGAGGTCACTAGACCACAACCTCTAAATTACAAAATATTGAAAGTCTGGGATATCCAAAATATTATTTGTTGTACCATTCCGATTCGTCAAATATGAGTTGTCGGCCACAAAAATATATCTGCAGAGTGACCTATAAAAAATGCCGGGTGTTTTGTCGCGGAATATATGGAGTGGATCTAGTTGAAAATTCCATGGCTGGATTCAGCGCATCAGATGGCTTCGTGAACTTATTTTCACTCAAATTTGGAGTGTGAAGGTGCTGGGTGCCGTTCAATATGTTGTAGAAGGGCCCAGATACTAACCGTTTGCACGATTTATAAGTGCACAGAAAAAACCTAAAAATGGTTTTAAGATGTGTATATGAATTTTAAATACATGATAACATAATATACTTCACAATATGATATGCTTATTAACATATTAAATATACTTTACCCTCTGACAAGAAAAAATGTTTTCGTGCAATTCCATTAGAATGCAAGTGTTTAACCACGTGTATGCAACCACAAATCAGTTCATTATACTAAACGAGGCCCTTTATAGACATTTCTTTAACCCATGTTTTTAACTCACACAAATTCTAGCAACATTCTAGGCTTGGCAATCAACAACGTGAATCGGTCGTGGGCGTTGGATGCTGGCGGCGCCGTTATTGTTTACATCGGTGTTGTGTGGAAAAGGGCGGGTTTGGAGGATCATTTCATTTAAGGATCATTTATCTTGGTACTTGGTCCTTACAAGCTCTGTAAGTACTATAAGCAAGCTATGTAAGTACTGCATACCCATGAACAGGGCGCTTCAGGGATATGGGAGTTTGTTGTGGCGCGTCTACGTCAGAGATGCCGCCGAATGTTTGTAATTTTTCATGAAGTTGCGGTAGGAAAGATCTGGTATCATACCTGTACATGAAAGCGTGAGCTTGGTTATCTCCAACCAACCTCAATTTTATCAAGTTATAAGTCTTTGCCAACCTTTTTTAAGTCTCTGCGATACGTTTGCTTCCGAAAATTGTTGGTAGAAGGTGTGTAGTTACAAGATAAGCGCTTCAAAGTTTGAAAAGGGTTTGAAAAGTTTTGCACTGCAACCCGTGGTGAAAATGGCTACTAACGCACGGAAAGTGAACAATAGTCCTAATAAATGTTCCATCCGTAGCAATATTTTCTCGTCTCAATCACAAGTTGTGGACAACTCGGGCAAAACGGAACTGAAACAGGCGAGATTAGCCATTTTGTCTCAAAACATATGAGCATCAGTTTTGTTTTAAAAATATGACAAAGCCACAAAAGGTGTCACCCGCCCACGTATGTATGTGGGTGTGATTCTACAACGCTACGCACGAGTTAAAAATCTCTCAAAGACTGCACTGAAATTGCACAAAGCATAAACCTCAAACTTCGGACCAACCGATGCCCGCACAACATTTCGACGATGCGTTTGGCGCCGGTGCCTGCGACCGGCGGCTATGGGGTGAAGGCACTTGATTAAATGTAATCACAGCACGGAATCTTCCCAACAGAGGTTCGGATAAGCTGTTGAGTCAGTGCCAGTAGCTGGATACAAATCTTACTGGTAGCAAAACCACCGGACGTGCATTTCCGTTTCGAGTAGTCATAAACAGTTCAGAAAATCCCTGTCCCGCTGGCAGGATTGACCTAAATTCCTGCCGCTGGTAAACTGCCAGTAAAATCAGTTCCGAGGTGTCTAAGCGGACTTTGGGCACAGCCACACCAGATTGCTCTATCAGGACGAAATCCACTTTAATCCAACGCCGCCCCATACTGTGCATGTGGCGCCGGCCAATCTCGCGCCAAATTACCTGCAGCGACGAAGCAAACATGATAAGCTAGGCAAGCAAAGCCCACTCTGGTCCGGTTCAGCGCAAATGATGGTCATTTGAGCAGCAGCGAAGAGGCGGCACCCAGGGCGTCTGCTGTCACGTCATGAAGGTCACGGTGATGACGCCGGCGCGGCAAAAGATCGTTCTCGAGGCGGTGGAGACACTGCGCGACATCAAGGTCCAGGTCATGGAGAAGACCGCCATCCCGGTCCGCCAGCAGCTCATCTACTTCCGGGGCAGACTGCTCAAGGTCAGTTGGGCAAGCAAGAGGTCATGCAAAGAAAACACGACCCATCCCCCTACACACGCATACACCCGCCGCCCCCTCCCCCCTCGCCCCCGCACACACGCGCGCACATACGCACGAACGCACACCGCGAGCACGCGTATGCGCACACGCAACATACACTAAGATAAATGCACACACGTTAGCGTCCATGTACCCAAAATGCGCGCACATGCGGGCAAACAAATATATCCGCACACATTTGCAAATGTGCACTGACGCAAGTGCTCTCAGACACTCACCCCTGCACACAGCCATCGGATCGCACGTCTGCGGACACGCCGGCATGGAAGCCACGCGCAGTGCTTGTTCAAGCTCAGCACCCACGAGCGCTATCCGCGCCCACGCATGTACAGGCACATCAGGCATGTATACAGCTGGGATGTATATGCTGGCACACAGGTGCTGTGAATGGGAGCGAATGCTTAGGGAGTTAAAATTCGCTGATCTCGCCAGACGTACTTGGGATTTGGAATGTTTTGCGATACATACGCATACAACACATTACGTGAGAACAGTTTGAGATAAGATCAGAAACACTGTGACTTCTGATTCGCCATTTGTGTATTTAAATGTGCATTGCATTTATATAAAAGCTAACGCTTCAGTTGTCATGGAAACGAGGTAAAACTGGATGCTGTAAGCGACAGGCCGGCGGCATTAAGCTAGCTTTGGTGGTCGCCCACCCACGTACCAGCAAGCGTATTCACGGAAATGCATGTATTTTAAAGGACGTTGTGCGGAGGCATGGGTTATTTGGTACCAGATCTCAAAAGCATGGAATTTTGGATGAAGAGGACTGCATCCCAAATCATTTATATGGGTTTGTCAAAATAGGCGGTACATTTTGCTCCGAAGCTCTTTGTTTTGCTATGAAGTACTTATTCGTCACTTGATGTGTGCGGTAATTAATAGTGTGGTGCCATGGAACCAAATCTGCAAGCGTAAAATACTGAATAGGTACATGGAGACGAAACAAGACCGTTTCCATGGTAAACGTTACTTGCTGTCGTGATGAACCTGATGACAAACGATGTATCCCGCTCTTGTGTGTCCTAGCTTTTGCACATTTCAGAATTTGGGCCAACTTATATCGCAGTCTGAACTGCTGGCGTGAAAGGTGCTTCTAAGACTCACAGTTTCTATCCCATCGTTTGTCAGCATCGATAGCAGAAATATGGTTCTGAGCGATCTGACAGAAAACAAATCGACTTTTCGGACAGCCTATCAGTATCCGCTTGGATTGAACTGGCTGGCAAGATGCCATTGGTCTAGTCAAGGCAACGGGGGCAATCACGTCATACCCTCCCGCGCCCCGTCCCCTGGAGGCCAAGCAGGGCCCATCTGTCTGCCGAATGGGTCCCCTGGTGCAGAAATTGGTCCTCAAAGAAGGTAGTCCGAAGGCCCGGCTGTTTGATAGAATAAGGCACCAGCTTGGCGCCTTACGCTCCTCGCGGTAATATTAAGAGAACACTATATTTTAAGCATGACAATGTGTCTACAAATCTACAACGTGCATTTCGAATAAACAAGAAGATGTAGTACGGGCAATCGAGAGAGGCCGCGGAGTGGTTTCAACGCTCGGGGCCCGCTGCTAGCCCAAATGGGCTCATGGCTTGCCCTGAAAGTGCTCCTACCGGCCTGTCAAGAGGCCTTGTTGACCTTCGAATGAATCTTATTTCATTCGGAGCATCCTCACAGGCTAGCAGGGGCCACTTCCGCCGCAACAAGCCCCTTTATAAGGCCGCGGGTTGTACCTCCGGTGCCTAACAGCACTCGTTTTACAGATCACCTGGAAAGGCGTTAAGAGAACTCTAGACGCCCTTTGGACCCGGTACGGACCTTCTTCAATTGAAATTTGGGCCTACAATACGCTAACAAGTGCCCCTAGGCATTTCTTGAGAGGGGCCTCGCTTGCGACCAAAACGTCCTCCTGATCTGTGCTGGACTTGCATGAGGTTGGCAAGAACATCTTTACAGGCAAGCAAGGGTTCCTTCACGAGATCTTCGTGGCCTAGGGATCGCTCCAGAAATTCGTCAGCAGCTGTTCGACATCGCGATGGTGGCCAGGATGTCCGGATAGCCGGCCTCGTCGCCGGCATGACTCAGTGGTCAGACAAGCGCGAGTTACAAACCGTGGCTTAGTTTGATAGGGCGAACACATCTGTTTTTGGTCCCGGCCTGTGGCCTTGGTACCGACCCCGTCTGTGGCCTGGCCACCGTCCCCGTCTGTGGCCTTGATACCGTCCCCGTCTGTGGCCTTGATACCGTCCCCGTCTGTGGCCTTGATGCCCTCTGTGGATTGTATGCCGTTCGCATCTTTGGGCTGGATACCGTCCCCGTCTGTGGCCTTGATACAGTCCGAGTCTGTGGCCTTGATACTGTCCCCGTCTGTCGCCTGGATGCCGTCCCCGTCTGTCGCCTGGATACCGTTCCCGTCTGCCGCCTGGATGCCGTCCCCGTCTGTGCCCTGGATGCCGTCCCCATCTGTGGCCTGGATACCGCCCCGCCTGTGGCTTTGATACCGTCCCCGTCTGTGGCTAGGATACCGTCCCCGTCTGTCGCCTGGATACCGTTCCCGTCTTTGGCCTGGATACCGACCCCGTCTGTGGCCTGGATACCGTCCCCGTCTGTGGCCAGGATACCGTCCCCGTCTGTCGCCTGGATACTGTTCCCGTCTTTGGCCTGGATACCGTCCCCGTCTGTGGCCTGGATACCGTCCCCGTCTGTGGCCTGGATACCGTCCCCGTCTGTGGCCTGGATACCGTCCCCGTCTGTGGCCAGGATACCGTCCCCGTCTGTCGCCTGGATACCGTCCCCATCTGTGGCCAGGATACCGTCCCCGTCTGTCGCCTGGATACCGTCCGCGGCTTCGGCTTTGATGCCGTCCGCGTCTGTGGCTTGGATGCCGTACATGTCTTTAGAATCGATGCCGTCCGCGTCTATGGCTTGCATTCCTCGAAAGTGATTGTGGAACCGCTTCAGCCTCACGCCGCCATCTACGTCGGCGTGAGCGATGTCGCGCCGTTTGGCCTCATTCTAAAGGGCGACACGGCCTGCAGCTTGTATGAAGCCATGCTGTCGGTTGCCCTTTGTCTCGAGTTAACTTCCCAGGGACGTCTTGGCGGCACCAAAGTTCGCCCGAGCTCCTGAACTTGGCGTCGGACCTTTCCACGTCCATAATCCGGAGCTGGGCGTGGGATGGGGCAGCCGACGGAGGTAGGCGTCCAGCGAACGAAACGCTATTGGTGGATGATCTGGAAGCCTTGCTGGCTTAATACAGCATCTGGTGCGGCCAGTGGCTCACCAAGAGCGGCTAAAACGAAGTTGCGAGGAGGGCGGTACCAAGGTACCGAAAGTACGGAGAGGGTTTGGTGGCCTGGGTGACTCTATCAAGTACTCCAGTAGCCTGGGTGACTCTGTCAAGTACTCCATGTAGCTTGGGTGACTCTGTCAAGTACTCTATGCAGCCCTTAGTGGTTAAAACGACCTCGATCAGACTAATCGAAAGACAATCCTTTAGCTCGATGAGTAGTCGGTGTTGAAGAACATGATTTAACAGACTTGTTTGGCAGTGGTTATCAGAACCATGTTATTACAACGGCGAAATTTTGATCAAGAAAAGATGTTTAAAGGTGTTGTATCACATTGCGCGTGGCGCTGCTCGCTGTATCAGGAAATGTCACTCAAGGACTTATTTTAAAGGAAAGACTACCGTGATTCGGTAATCGTGTGGTTGGCGTATATGGAACGCACCGTCTTTCGCAAAAAAGGTAACCACCTTGCTATCAGAATGCACACTATGTTTAACGTTACAACGTACGTCATCGTAAGTTGAGATTCGCTGCGCTGCTATAGACACAGCTATGGTCTGTATCCATGACTACGGTGTCTGAAATGAAGCTCTATAGTTTTCCAAAGTTTCTTTTTAAAATCTAGGCCATTACAAAAGGCGCTTTGGAAATACTTACTCCTCAATTCAGAGCCACCAACCAAAAATTAAACTGTGTTCAGTTCGCCATCTCATGGCCTGGCGTAGATGGGTGGCGGGTCAATGCTCACGTAACGAATCGTGCTTAACGAGATTCGCTGATTATTTTGGATTTTGGGCGCTGGGGTGATTTCGTCACATGACGATCTTGTTTGGCGTTTCGAAATAATTCTGGTTTCAGCGCCGCTCGTGGAACAAAATCACGACTTTTTAGATTAGGATTGGGGCAGCGTAGATATCATAACTGCCAGAAGTATTTTTTCCGCTATCCTGTTATGGGCATACTCACGCACAACACATCACGTGTCCCAGGTGTGGACCTAGAGCCCATTGGTCACATATGAACTCGTAAAGAAGAAGGCACGGCGTCAAATACTTGTTACATTAGCCCGCACTGCACCATTATCATCATAATCATATATAATTATACTGTTCTGCATCTTAACAGAGCGTGCGCCGCCAATACCTGACTGCAGCCACAGTGAGCCGACCACTGGAGTGTTGCTATTTCAAACACTGGGACTGTCGAATGTCTGGTACAAGACCGGCCAGGTGTCCGGTACACAGCGGTCGTCCGGCACAGAAGCAGCCGTGCAGCACTCGAGTGGGCGCGTGTCCGGCACTGGGGCTGCCACTGTCCAGCACAGGAGAGGCAGTGTGTTCGTCACAGGAGAGGCAGCATGTCCGGCACAGGAGAGGCCGAGTGTCCGGCACAGAAGCAGCCGTGCAGCACTCGAGTGGGCGCGTGTCCGGCACTGGGGCTGCCACTGTCCAGCACAGGGGAGGCAGTGTGTCCGGCACAGGAGAGCCCGTGTGTCCAGCATTGGAGTGGGAGCGTGTTCGGCACTGGGTCGGGCGCACGTTCGACACTGGAGTGATCGGGTGTCGGAGTGGGGGCGATCCGATCCCACTGTCGTTTCCAAACTAGGAAAGAGAAAGCGCCTCGCGGAAAAAAAACACAGCGGATGGGACACAATATCTTGCAATTAGCAGGAAGTTGTATGCTGCTTGGTCAATAATTGAACGCTCTACATGCGGTCAGAAGAGAGAAATCCTGAAAATTGAATTTTTGAACCTCACATGCACTTACGCACAAGGACACGTCTCGTAATGACACGGAATTCAAACAGCTGTATTTCTACACATATGCATGATGTAGGGACCGGTTAATGTAGCGGCATTGGCGACCCGCCGCGCGCCTTACGCGGTATGGTCGGTTACCGCCCGCCGCCCGCGCCAGCCGTGGGTCGCTGTGCAGTGCCCCTAAAAGACAGTAGCTACTCGGAAAGCACAATGGCTTGAGGCACGTCAAAACGCGCACAAGGAATGTCCAGAGCACACCGAATGTTTGGGCGCGATTTCACGATACACCATAGAGGTATGCTCCGAAAACCGTAGGGGCTCGCGTGCCAGTCTGGTGTCATTTGGAAACACTGGAGGTTGTGCAGTCTGTCGGCCCCGGACCTGAAGCACATCCGTGAGACCCGCCTCATCGCGGACCGAAAATCAGGTCAGCAGCTGCTGCAGATGCGCTTTCCTGCCAGACCTATCCAGGCTGCTAAAATACAGAGGCTGTTGAACACATTGCATGCCAAATTTACAGCCTCACTCTGCACTGGGGACCGGGTGATGCCAGTTTCAGTGATGGGAAGGAAACTGCTGATTGCCTGGCCAACGAGGTGGCAGTTTTGGACCAGGCCATCCATCCCAAAGACCTGACCAGGGCGTGGGTGGTATCCGGTGTCACATCTTGATCCGGCCCACGTCAGAGGCGCAGTAACCCGCGACCACATCCGATGAAAATCTGACCCAGTAAGGCTCACCACCGTCACTCAGCAGTGAAAGGATGAAATTAAAATGTGTGGGCACGTGCAATTCGATCCTTCCTCTGGACATGAGGTTGGGTTATTCCATGACATAGACTGATTGATCACCCCAGACACCTAGACTTGCAGTTACAACCACTGTTACTAACTACGGATCGGTAAACCCCACACACTAAACTAAAACTCTACGACAAATGTTTCTAGCCTTTGATAAATGTGTCACACACCCACAATGTTTTCCTGGAATAAATTCAGCACGGGATCATGTCCATGAAGATTACTGAGGGTTTATTTATGTATCATACAGCATAACAGTTAATGGAGTGGCAATCGCCCGCACAGTTAACACGGTTAACCTTCACTCGGGCGCGGGGGCAATTTCCCCGAGGTTTTCTGGGCATACATCCCCGGCATGGCGTGCAATCACGCCCAAATATTCGGCATCTTCTGGTACATCATCGCGGATGTTTTGACGTGTTCCTAGCCTCGAGCGATATTTTTTTGTAACACCGCACAGCGATCAACGGAGGGCATGAGCGGCAGCGCGACTCTGTTACATCAAAAAAGTGTGTCTAGTCTTTTTGTTGTTTTTTTTTCTCAAAAAGACATCCCTGCACGTATCCAAACGAAACTTTTGGTATTAGCAGTAATTGAAAGTTCTTCTGGGGCTTCTGATAATTATGATTTAATGCAATATCTTTTCTCACCCATGGTATCGATGGCTCTATGTACTGTACGTGTACGAATACAACTCTTTTAACACGTGCCCAGGTAACCGCCATGCCGCCAACCGCCATGCCCTTTGGAAACCATTCCGGGAAAACCTTCGGGGGTCAGACTGAGCCCCCGCCCGAGCGCGTGTTAATGGACGAATTGCACCAATTAACGGGACAACAACGGGAAACAAGCACGCGCGACAACTAATGGCGCATCCGAGACAAGCTAAAACTGTACGAAAAATACTGTTTCCATAGCCTGCTAATCAAAACCTGTTGCTTTGATGCCAAGTGTCCTCACTTCACCGGCGGCAAATAACATCACATAACTCCACAGTGACTTAAATATAACGACACGTGCTTCCTTTATATCATAAAAAAATCTGACTACACAAAACCCTCCCTCATGAGAAAACAAGGCGTTGAGCTACTGGAGTGAAGACTTAAACATGCTGGAAGTCGAATCAGTAGATAAATATTGAAGAAGTACCGTCCGACATCACCGTGATCTGAGAAAGTGCTAAGGTGTAGTATTTTAGTTGTTTCGACCCGGACAGTCATATGCCATTCTAAGACCTTATTCAGTGCTATTGGCGTAAACTGTAGCTGCAAATGGGGCATCGTGAGAGGAACCTTTCTGACAACAAGAAATATGACGTTGAGAGGCTGATAACATGGAAATAATAAACGAATGCAATGTTTGTTTGATGACTGAAGATGTTAGAACTAATGAATTGCTAACGTTTACTTATGTCTATTTTATATAGGTCTGCAAATGAAAGACTAACAATGTGCGGCTGAGACAATGAGAGGCTGTAAAATTACACCCTAGGGGTCAGCTTCGAAATATCATAATACGACATCGTTGTCCATCGTTGCCAACACACTATCTGCATAAATAAGCCACCACTGAGCTGAATACATATATATATATATATATATATATATATATATATATATATATATATGCATATACATATATAATGCCGCCTTGTGAAACTTTATTAACGTATAATGCCCAGCTTATTAACCGTTACAAACTGAAATATTGGCTTCCACTGCCAGTGAATAATGATAAGAAAACTTACCAGATGCATTCAGTATGCAAAGCGTAGCCTACAAGCTGCATAA